TTTTTTTTTTTTGATTTTGCCAATTTTTTGTTCAGATACAAATGGCAGCTTATAGCGACACTTCAGCTGCACAAGTTGAAAGTGGTGGTGGTGATGATGAAAATCTGACAACAGCGTCTGAAGCATTGGATACCCGCAGACAGCAACCTGCTGATGAAACATTGCAGCAAATAAATGCGGAGCAGAAGTATAGCGGTGAAGTAAAGGAAGGTGAATTGAAAAAAGCTACAGATACGATTGAAAAGGAAGAAGAATTTGAAACTAGACCGTTAGGAGAGCACGTTGCTATGAAAGTATGATCTCAGTTCCTTTGTTGTTGTTGTTGCTGCTGCTGTTGTCACACACACTCAGCAACTGTTTTCTTGTTTCCATGTAAAATCGGGGAACAAACAGTTTTTCACTTGCAGCTTTCTAGATTTTTGTTTATTTTTTTTATTCAGTTTATTTATTAAGCTTTTATTAGTGTAGATAGCTGTTATAGTTCTTTATATGTTTTTTTTTTAAAATAGCATTTTTTAACTACTCTTTTGTCTCTTATTCTTCCTTGCTAACTTCTTTAACCCTTATTATTTTCATTAATTTTGCTTCCATTTAACCCAGATTAGCAGTAATTTTTCATACCTAGACCGAAAACAAAAATAACAGCAAAAAAGAGGTTTTTTTGATGCTTTATTTTATGGTTGCTATAACTGAATGAGCACTTTTAATTTTGCTCAATTAATACTGGCACAAATTAGTAATCGTATCTGTTGTCGCTTTTTGTTCTTAAAAATTTGCTACGACAAACTTTTATTTGGTTTTATACATAACGTTTGCTTAATGGAATCAACACATATTCGGGATTCAGTAGAATGGCTGCGGTAGGTCTGCTGTGGTAACAATATTTGAAGGAAATTACACTTTTTTTTTCTGAAATAATAAGTGATTTTTTGTTTTTATTTTTTGATTTTTCTGTTTTCAACAAGATTATCATTTTTTTATCACTGCAGTACGAAGCAATTTATTATTAATTGGACATTAATTGTCTAGTTGTATAACTTTAAAATTTGTCTTTTCTGAAGCACAAAACTGAGAGATATAAAATGAAATTGATGAACTAAATGAGATGAAAATTTTTTTTTTTTTTTGCTCTTTAATAACTTTTTTTTCTTTTTTGCATGATTTGAATTACACTGAATGACTGGTTGAACTGGTTGAAATAACAGGTTCAAGTGGTTGTGTACATCAGTAAAACTTACTGTTTTCATTGATGTGGAGCGGATTAAGCACAAATTTTTGGAACGGAATGCTAAAAAAACTTTACAGCTGTTTTGCACCACAACATGTCTTGCTTTCATCAAACTTTGATCATTACAAAATAAATATGACGTGTATTTTCTGTGCCCTATTTCTTCGATGGTTTCAAACTTTGGTCTATTTCTCTGTGGTCTGTTAAAGCTGAAAAAGTTTACTCCATTCACTTTTGCACAGATGGGCGCATCAACGCAGTTTTATTTCAGATGACAATAAAAAGTTTTTTTTCCTTACTGATAGTATCAATATGCAAGAAGAGAGGAATTTTTTAAATTATACTGAATTCTTCAAGTGGAGGATCTGAGGATCTACTTTTTCAAATATTTTTTAATAAAAATTTGTTGCTATAAAGGGAGTAGGGAGTTTTTTTTAGCAGAAGAACGAACAGCAATTAGTAAGTAAGTAAGTTATTGCAAATGATTTTTCAAAAAATGCACTTATTTAGTTTACATTACTATTGTACATAGTTTTAGGGTGATCAGAATAATGTACCACCGACAACATCGTTAACGGACAGCTATCTGAAGAATACCACTAATTACCGGTCGCCGAACGCCCATGAGAGAAATGGTAGCGTTACGGCAAATGGTATCATTGTTTTTATTAGTTTTTTTTTCTAATTTTTGACGGTTTACCATGAATTTTTTTTGTGTAAGAGTAAAATAGGTGGTATTTATCTTGAAAAATAATGTATTTTTATTGGTTTTTGATGAGTTCTTCTCTTAAAGGAAGTTACAAGAAAAATGGGTTTCAAAGAATAGAGCAGTAATTCACAATCTGTAACTAGATTTTTTCCAATTTTTTCTCAACAGTTTTGAGTTGAAAAATGATTTGGTTAACGTAAACTGTTGTTAGGTGTCGACATATTTTCAATGAGCGCTGAAGAGGCACGTCATCATCTTGTGCATCGTAAGCGGGATCCTCGAGTGGACACAAATATGTCTATAGAAGAGAAGCATCGACTTATTTCTAATATGTGAAAGTGCTCAAAAAGGTGTTTGTTGGGTTGGAAGATTTTTAGCGATAGTTCTTATT